TATATATATATATATATATATATATATATAAACCTCTGACCCAATCCTCACCATCGGCACTTTTGGAACATCCATGCTGAGGGCTACAACAGAGCCGAAGGAAGTGGCGACGATGACATTGGAACGCTGCTCTCTAAATTTCCTCTCAGCTATGCGGATGGCCTTCCGCCACATGTAGCGCGTTGCAGCCTTACCCCCGAACCAGTACGTCAGCAAAAGCACTAGCCCCTAAGCACAAAAGCGGAGCAGAAGCCACAGAAAATGGTAGCTGCAGGGGCATCAGATACAGTTACGAGGCCGTTCGCGGAAACGAAAATAAGTGATGCAGAGTTCGGCCAAGCGGCACGAGTGGTATCACAACGTCAGTCGAGGGCGCCGGGCCAGCTATTCTGCCCAAAGATGTCCTTCTTGGGGCACGAACACGGGACACTGAGCCGTTCCCTTCTCACCGCTGCAAGAAAGACGCACAGGCCTACATACCACTTCGCCAGCACAGCTGCAGCTCTGTAAATAACAAGCACAGCACAAAGCACTCGCCATAAAACAACTAGTTACAGAATTCCCCTTGTCTGTCTCTCTACGGCTATATATATGCTGGGGCTCCCTACAGCGCCACATGAAAGGAGGACATCACCATGGGCGTAATGCGAAGGAAACCTACATAACCGTGCTGAGGAGGCAAATGGTTAGGACCAGGAATATGAGGACAAAGACCATTATGGTCTGTCGCGTCTTTAAGTTAGGAGCCTTCACTCTTTGCTTCCCAAGAGCCTTTTCAAGCAGTCGCTGCTTCTCACTTCCAGGAGCTGAATCCAGCTCGTGCAGAAACAGCACCTTCAGGTCCTGACCCCCCACCCCCCGGCTTGTAACTTGAGAAGCCATCTACGCTGTCAATAATCGATGAGGGTGAATGTAAAGAACTGCTCCGTACTCGATGCTCGAGTAAGCAAAGCTAGTCTACGTCTCCACTGACGCCCTCAACTAGAACGCACACCGATCAGCGACAACAAACTTGGCATTACGTGCCCCGTTTCCCTTGCACTGCTCGAGGAAAAACCAGTATTGCCGAGAATACCAGCTTGGTCGTGGGGGATCTTTGGCACGGGCAAGACTTAGCTCCTCCCAAAAATGCAGTCTGCCTCAAACGCGTCCTGTCGTCGACGGGTTACCAACTAGCCCTAGCCGGGGCGGTGAGCTGCAATCACTGCTCCTACGCAGTATTCGTGTAGTGCTAAACCCACAAGTGGGGTCAAAAGGCCTCAACGAGACAGTCAAAAGTGCTACTTTGGTAGGAAGCCTCACTTGAGCGTCTCCTGCCAGAAGAAGATGGAGGCGCGCGCAACCCGTAGGCTGCTTAAATGTGCCGTCGCAATACCGAGGCAAATGTACAGTTAAAATTCATCAAAAAACCTTATGACTTCGTTCCACCTTCTTCTTGTTATACGCACCTGCTTGTTCGCTGCCTGTGTGTGTGCCAGTCCTGTCCGTCCCACGCAACTGCTTCTGCGGAAACGGAGTATGCTAGAGGGGTATTAATCGAAAAAAATCGAAGTTAAAACCTATGTGGAAAGAATTCCGAACCCGCGGATACCTTGCGCCGCGGAAATAGGATGAAAACGAGGTAATCAGCGGAACAGAACAACCCGCCGAATGGTCTAACACACAGGCACCAGTATACTGGTCTGCCCGCGAGAGGAACTGAAGCCTCTGAGTATCCAAAGTACAAACGAGCAAGAATTTGCTCTGGGGAAAACAAACCAAACAATGTTAGGAGCAGGGGAGCAGAAAGCGAACCAGAAAATGGTGGAACGCCCAACGGAAACCTGCAAGAAAATGACGGCGAGAGCTGCTCATACCAAACGAGCCCCACAACTGTTCACGGTCCTCTAGACTTCCCCTCAAAAGTAAAAAATCTCCTCTGCCTTATTATTTTACCTTGACTGAGCATTTACTCAAGGGAACTGCTCCAAGAAGGGCAGAGGCAGACAGAACTCCGCAGCAGCAAGGCAGCTGGGCGAGAAGCAGCAGGAAGCACCTGCCAATTTTGATTCGATGAATCACTGCATTAACGACTTTAGTATGATATGTGCAGCGAAATAATGGATGACGGCAAATCAAATTAGCACAATTTTGACGTGCAAGATGCTAATAAATATTAGCCGGAAGCTCCATGATGGTGAACGGGAGTTCCAGGACCCACGGTTTCCGTAGGACGTGTAACCATTGAGTAGGAGGAGGCATATTAGCATTCGCATGCAAAACGTACTCAAATTCATATATTGCACTACTCGTTGTAACGACAGCGAAATTGATTTTAAATACTGGTGCTACCCGTATGGGTGTTGCGCTGTTGACGCCGAATCGAGGTCCCTCTCGACTTACTCTGTATTTCACGTGCATCGATTGTTTTTCCACTCTGTCTCCAACTGTTGGTGCATAATGCAGAAAGCGTCAAATGATGTCCAGTGCCTCGGCAGCTGTACAGACCGGTCTCGATACAAGGAGCAAGTCTGAATTCATGCTCCGAACAGTGACCACCCGATTGTAATGGTTGAACCAATGACTCAACTACGAGTTCTTGCTCCTCAACGTCGTGAAACTAGCGTCTATTTCCTCCAGCGACGCCTTATCTAGTCAATATGTCCGCACTACCATGACGAACGCAAGTTATGCGGTGTTCCATGTTTTCTCCTTTGCCGTCCCTCCCAAGCTGCCCACGTGTTCCGTAGTCAAATTTTGTCCAGTAGTGAGCGTCGTTGTACTCCATGAAGAACCTTGGCAAGAAAGCCATGTTATTGAACAGTGAAACTTATTGAACAGTGGAACCTGCTGAAGTTAGCTGCTGCTGTTGTCGACTGGAGTCGATTCCTTCTGGCTACACAAAAGTTTCATAGTTTTTACTTATGCGGAGTGAAATTATCGTACAAGAAGTTCGCTAAGTCGAGACCCTTCAGCGTGTATGTAAGTGGACGTCAATAACCTGGTGGCCATAGGACTTGCAAGCACTTGCATAGCCGCAATTCAACAAGACTTTTGAGGACCTTCGCATATCAACAGAAAGCAATTACTTCTGTTCGCTGCTACGCCGCAGCTCGAAGGGCGTGGGTTGCTCCAGCGCATGCATTCCTACAGACAGTAACACCTATTTTTGCCAGAAAAACTGTTCAATACGTACTGCTCTTCACGTTAGATTCTGCAACAGGTTTCGGCAACGCAAAAAGGATTCAACTGAGAAGGATACAGGCAACCCTATTGCAAGCGTCACTTCATAGCTTCTTCTTCATCTGCAGTCACTTTGCATCTCCCCCAGACTATCAGTGCAAGGGTTTATTTTTGCAGTGACTCAGGGTGAACCACTCCCTGTTTGGAGTGCTTCTCTGGGATTCATGCAAAGAATGAGAGTTGAAACAATCTTCCTTTTCGCAGGTTCTTTTGGCCTGTTACCATCTGTGTTTGAGAGCATCAACCTCCCGCGCCAATCATCGCAGATTGCAACTGGTTCTAATGATATGTTCGGGGATTTCCCACCTAAAATAAGAATGCACATCTATGGCCGGAGGCTGTACGTATGCAATTCGGTTGTTACATGCATAAGGCTACCACTTTTATCGTGCAGCGGTTCGTTATACAGGGCCACTGCCGCAATCACCTCGGAAGTTGTATCTAGCTTTACTACCTGTAGCCAGCGGCATTCTAAAAAGCACTGCTCTCTTTCAGGGTTTCTTTAGCCTAAAACATCCTGCTGAGGAATGTTGGGCTGGAGGCGTCCGCAGGCAAGCATTTACGCAGTACTACATTATCTTTGGCAACAGCCTTCCGAACCCGGAGGTAGCTTGCTAGTTGAGTATAACAGCCTCGCACTCGCAGTTGTTGAAACTATATAAGCAAACCCATCCACCTGTCTTGATTTCCTCGGAAATGCGGAAAGGGACAATAACATAGCAGTGTATATACTTAACAGTTTCGTTTCATTGCTCGAACCGCATTACAACCACTGTCGCAAGACAACAAAGACAGTGCATGGTTGTATCGCAGGAATATTGGGAGCTGCAATGGATAAGCACTTCAAAGAAGTGTTCCGTAAAGCAAACTACCCCCTTCCCGTTCTGTAGGCTCCCCGGATACAGCGTCACAAACGCCTGGAGCTGCATGATAGAAGACGGCTTGATCTTAGTTACAGCGGCCTGCTGTAAGACAGCCCCACATACAAGAATAAACAAACCATCATGGCTGCATGAGTACGCACTGCAGACACTTGTTTGGAACCTTCGCATGTAAACTGCTTGTATTCTGGGGCCCCGAATGGGTTCATTTACCCCCCTCCTTGAGACAGGGTTGCCAGTGTTGCACAGACTCCCCCTACATCGCATGCAGGCGCAATGTAGATTGCTTTTGCTCAGGCCATTACGGCCATACGCAAATTTTGCCAAATATTGCAGAGTAAGGATTCACGTGCCAACTGTAGTAGAAGGACTTGCCAACTTCACACAGGCAGATACGTTCTGCGCCTGGTTGCTGCGTTGAGGATAACTGCGTGAGGATAACTGCGTGAGGATAACTGCGTGAGGATAAACTGGAGGGGCAGTCAGCTTGTTATTAGACATTAATCGTCTCATTTGGAACCTGTTTAAGCTTAGGATGGTCGTCTTCTATCTGTCGATGACCCTCGTACCAATTCCTAAGGATAGTGGGGATCGGGGAGCCTTAGTTGCTTCAGTTGCTTCCCTCTTCTAAACTCTTCAATGGAGAGGTGGTAGTGTCCAAAGATGAAATATACGAAGAAATGCTTGTTAGAAATTGATAAATAATTCACAGTTAGACAGCACATTCAGTGAATCTGTTGATGGTTGGGAACACTCCCAGATGGGGCCGACACCAACCTTGAGCTCTCCCTGTTTGCAGAGGAAATTTGGTCGGAGGGTGTCTTGCTAGGGAAAAAGAATTCTTAATTACGATTGGAAATGAAAGCAAGCATGCTTTGCAAGTTGCAACAGGATTACGCATCTCCCCCATCGCTTGCGTCAGAAAGCAAGGGGCGGATACTCTGGGAATTCGAGCAATCGCGGGGACTGAATGGTCTTGCAACTGGCATGTGCTTGTTTCATATGTTTTTGCTTGCGGGTTGCAGATCCAACCCTTCTTTGCAGCAATTATCGCCATATTGGGAGTTTTATATTTAGTTTCATTGCAGCCTTCTCCGTCCCTGTTTTGCTGCGGGCGTCGCCTGCAAGTGCACCGTGCCCAGGCGCAAGCTGCTTCTCTGCATTCCGTAAAACCTCCGAACCTTTACCGGACTAGACAGGACAGGTGTTTCTATCTTTATTCGCTTTCTTTTTGAAATGGAATCTTTAGGAGCATCGGGAGCTTTGCCAGGGTTTGCGTTGGCAGTGTCTCAACCTGAAGAGACAGGTACAACTCCAGTCGGTCGCGCGAGTGAATGGGTTGACGCTCCCCGCCGGCTCGTACAGCGGCGGCGTAAAAATGCCCACAAGACCGTTATTATTAGCCTGGCGGCCATCCTGTCGCTAACTGCAGTTGTCTTTGCGCTCCTCCGATGCGCCAAACTCCTCTCCTCCCCTCACACGCCTGCGTCCGATTCCCTGAGGCTCCTTGCGTCTAAGGTCCTGCCAGCACGGTGTCAGACACACTAGTAGTACCTGCTGCTGCTTCAGCGTCTTATTATTCCCCCCTGATGCCCCCCGAGCCCTTAATACGTGCCCGCGTGGATGTGTGGCGCCGAAGCTGATGCCCAGCTTGTTCTTGCATAAGATGCCCGCCTAAAATTGCTGCTTTTGTGTCCATCTGGATTGTGCAGGATGCCAACAAAAGCTGCGGTAGTGTCAGAAGGGGGCAAACTAATCCGCTTGGATCCCGTGGGGCGCATTACCGGTCGCACGCTTCCCTGCTAACCACCCAGCTTCGGGCACCTGGTGGAAGACACGACCCTCCGTTCTACGATTTTCCCACAGTTTTGAGCATATCTGTGAGTTGAATGCGTCCTTTGTGGCTAGCACACACAACACGGATACAGGACATTCCCTCAAGAGTGACACAGGCAGTTCGGGGTTCTGGAGGTTCTGCTGCTTTCCATGCAAAGGCGAGGACTGCATCCAGTTGCATGCGCGTCTTGTGTTGTTGTTGCCTTTCTGGAATTGCTCTGCAGGCGAGGGAGGGCTTGAGGCGTTTCATGAAAGGTCTAGGCAACCTCCGAAAATTGCACCTCGGCGGAAAGCAGAGTGCGCCTTACGGGCCGACGCCTGTGTTGAATTCTTTGCAAGCATATTTTGCCTTTTGGTACTTAATGGGCTTCAAATGTGGTATATGGAGCTTCTGGAGCTTATTTGAGGCGCTTCTGTGTTTTATGCAGAGAAGGTTGACTTTCTTATGGATGGCGTGTTAATCTCCCTGGAATTCTCTGAAACGGTGAGCTGTCTGATCGGTCTGTGCGCACTTTTGGGCGAAGATTTGCTTCAGGATAGCAGTGGCAATGCTTACCGGGGTGTCGTGCTGCTATTGTCTATTCCATGTGCAGAAATCGTCCAGTCTGCAATTCGGACCATCTAAACGCGTGAGCTTCGGAATTGTCTGCAAGGCAGACAATCAACGCAAGCAAACGCCCTAATCGCCCAGCCCTTGGGCTGGGCGATTAGGGCGTTTGCTGTAAAGAATAGAGAGAAGATGCTTGTGGCTGCATAAGCTGGAAGCTTGGGGGGTGCATATGCATTTTCAGGACCTTGAAGTCGCTGGCAGATACATGGAGGCAGCCATCTGGAGACGCGTCCATGATGTGTGGTCCAACAGACCCAGTAGGCTTTAAAGCCAGAGGCATCTACCAATGATGCTTTAGGTGCAGGCTGCTGCTGTTTCTTTGTGTGCTTGTGTTGCGGCTGCATGCGATCCGTGATGCTGCTACTGGTGTTACTGCTGTGTGCGCAGATCCATCAACCTCGAGTGAAGAGTTTAGGATTCCTGGGAGGGCAGTAAACGGCTCTGGGGCAAGCATTAATTGTCTCGTTTTTTGTGGGTTTCTCCTCACCCATTTTCTTCACTTTCGTCGGCCCTTCTCCAAAGGCCTGTCGTTGGGGCCCTTTACCTGCTTTGGTCCCGCTCTGCTTTTGTTTGCTACTTCTTCTTGCTGCTGCCTGCTGCTAGAGGCAGGGAGCAGGGGGCGAGGCTGCAAAAGGTTGCAAGTGAATTTGTGTTGTGGGGTTACCTCTGCTGCGCAGGCAGGTGGGATCCGGAGTTGTCTTCATCGGGTCCGAGCTCTCCCGCCTCGCCCTTCGACCGGGTAGTTGCGGGCGACTTTGGAGGCGAACCCTCAAGTGCGGTCTTCCAATTCCCAAATGTTGGGGGGCCCTCGCAAGAAGACAGTGCCGATGACGCAAACGCCTCTTCGCATACACAGAGTCAGGGGACCCCGAAGATCCCAGGAGCAGAAGAAGACCAGGATGGGAGCAGCCCAGGACGCAAAGACTCGGACACACCTTCCGGAGAAAAGATACCGGAGCAAATCCAAGCTTCTTCTGGCGTTGTATCCTCATGGCAACACGACAGCCGCCGACGACCCTTGGTTCAGCCTGAAGATATCTGGTTGCCTAGGGTGGAACTCTCTGATGGACACGAAGAGAGCGGAACAGTTACAGCGGGAGAACGCAAGCACAAAGGGGGGGGCGGGGAACTGGTTCGCTCAAGTTCGTTTGCACGTCCATCTCGTGGAACTGATGGAGGTCAAGAAGACACTGATTCCAAGGACGCTGACGCAAGTGGACGTCCCAGAACATCAAGCGCAGGGAAGGGGCATGTTCAAACCTGGCTAGGCGACCGACACGCTAGTCTCAGATATTCCTTCAAGGGAGTCAAGGACAAAATGGTACGCCTTAGAGACTGTGCTGTCGTCGAGTCCAGCACCCTCGTGGCTTTCTAGCTTTGCGTTGGAACGCTCGCATGTTCTACATTGTCTCGTCCATTGTTTGTTTTCAAAGCCTTGATTAAGATAGGCTGCGCTGTCTGTTTTTTGGGATGTTCAAAAGGCCAAGAAAAAGCTAGAAGAGGCTGTGGATGCGGCCCGTAAGATGTGCATTCCAGCCAAGAGGCTGCGCACAGGTGAGGAAGAGCACTGGTATCACTGCACGAAGGTGTCCTTTTCATTTCATGTCCAGTACTGATCGCGGGCATGGACTGGCAACACGGAGGAGGAACGTTTGGGGCGCTGTACTGTTTGCATTTCTTGCAGAAACTATACAATTTGAACATGGAGGAGTACAGGTGGAGATCACTGTTACGGAACTCGTAAGACTACAAGCCCTCCTCCTCCAGACTCACACGGAGATGCAGAGCTCCTGTAGGATGAAAAAGCGGGGGTTTTATTCAGACAGTTTTAATTGTTTGGTTATATATTTCACAAGGCTACTTACGGTAGTTATAACCACAGCGGGCGCGTAGGCTCTCTCCCCTGGAGGGAGCTGAGCTGGAGAACATGACATTGTATTGTATTCAGTGTACACTTAATTACTGTTATATTATAATTGTACTCTTACCCTTGTTGTCTGTGTCTGCAGATAGGATTCAACTGGGAGTCAGCTTGGGTAGGGGACAGCAATTTTAGCATTAGCAAGATGGAAAAGAAAAAGCGCGGGCCTCTTCGGGAAGGTGGACAGCAGGATTTTGAAAGATATTGTGTGCACACTTGGGGCGTCTGACGTGTTGCGTTGTCTTCTGTCGCTGCTGCAGTTGGTGAAGCAAGTGGGGACGCAGTTGGAGAAAGCATATTTGAGTGCATTGGAGAAAGTTGAAAGTCATGGCTCAGGTAAGCCAGACCCTTTTGCTGGAGCCTCTTGTGCTGCTCCTTTCTATGCGGTATTGCTTTGGGGGATCGCGGACATCCTTGATTTTGGTATAGCAAAAATGGGCAGGATGCGAAATGCGGCTTGGACTGGGCGACGGTGATTTAGCTTCAGCGTAAGACGAACAAAATGAAGTGGACTGTTCATTTTTCTCCTCGCGAATGCTTTGCAGGCAATTGGAGCACGATGCGGACGTTTTCCGTTACACATGAGAGAGGAGGACGCGTAGACGGCCAGTTAGCTGTTAGCGTGACAGGTCGGTTTCAAGTCAAAGAAGGACTTAGTGTTCTTGAACGCAGATTTGACTTTTACAGACGTATTCGCCATTTGTTGCTTGTTAAACGAGGCATCGAGGCCTCTGTGTGGGGGACGTTCTTGTTTTCAGCAACGCATGTGCAACCGTTACCTTTGGAATTTCTTTCGTTACGAAGGGGAGCACGTCTCCAGGAATCATCACGCGCCCGTTCGGAGGTCGACGTCTCCAGAGGAGGCGCGCTACCGGCACCACGCCAAACGAAGTCGGAGGGAGTTTCGTCACCGGGGAGTACCGGAAGCTCCGATGATGACAGCTAAATAGCACACTTGGATATTTGAATCAAATCCTGAATTAGTCAATAGTTTCAAAGAAAACACCACCTTCACCGTCTTATTGGCCTCATGACCATTCGTCATCAACTTCACTGAAGCTGCGCAGCCGCTGCTGGCGTGGCCACTCTTCACAAGACCTATATGTTCGGCTGCCTTGCATTCCACTCCTTTTTATTAATATCTTATACGGAAAAGAATGGAGTCAGACCCTTCTTTCATGCGGGAAACGTGCCTCTCTCTCTGGTGAACACGAAAGAGTGCCCACCTTCCTCTGCGTAAGATGAGCATTTGCATTTGTTTTCTGGCACTGCCTGCATGTTGTGAGTGTGCGGAAGCGGACTAGGGAAGCCAGTGAATCTACTGGCCCTGATGACGCTCTCCGTATGCAGTTGTGGTTCAGAGATCAGCGAGATTTCTCAAAGGCAAGTGATTGAGGGCCGCCGGGGAGTCAAAATCGGCTCTGGCTGAACCAACAAAACCAGGCTGCTTTTATTTTGAGGGGAGATAACTGAAAAGGCATTGACTTTTACACTGTTACGCGAAGCGGAACGGGAAGTTGGCTTGTTGGACTCTGCTGCGGTCTACGGAAGGATGCTCGGAAAGCATTGATGGTCCTTCAGATACATATTTGCAGCACAGGACAATCAGAAGTGTATAGTTATAGTCGTAGGCAGGCAGCAGCTCAACAGTTACTATGTACAAGCTAAGTGCCCGTGAAGGAAATCCACTCTATGACAAACTGAAGAGCGGCAAGGAACAGGGATGTGTAGTTCAACATAGTAAAATAGAATATATGTTGAATGCCGTATACATTCTTCTTTTAAGCAGGAAGGCCATATGTTTAGACTTATTTTGGCCCTCTCGCGGTGTTCGCCTGCCTCCGGATGATGGGGATGGAAGCGCATTAATGGGGTAATGAAGCATTTTTATTCTCCTTTCTCCTCCTTAGAGCAGGGTACAGCAGAATATGAGCGTTTGATCTTGTTGTCTGCATAGCATCTGATGTTCTGCTCCCCCGCATAAAACGGCAGCCAAAAGTTGACAGTTCAGCTGGTTGTTGGTGCAGCAACTATCAAGCAACCTGAGCCTACAGCTTTGCATCTCTGCGCGGCCAACCCTGACCTCCCCGTTCTCAACACATGGAAGGATTGTGATGTGTTTCTTCTTTGAAATTCCTCAAAACCATTTCATGTTTTGAGTGGCGTCGTAGGGGCTTCTTTCTTCTCTGCATCAGCGCGGGAACCTGAAGCTGCAGCATTCTTCATGTGGAGTCGCCGCATGCACCACTGCGTGAGGTGCAGGCAGGCGACTGACTACCAACAAAGAGTTCAACTGCTGTCTACAGCGTCAATACATGGAATAAAAGGGGATAGGCTGTGCTCATTTGCGGGATAATATGTCTTGAAAAACGAATTGCACCAAGGCGTGATTCTACGATGTGTCCTGCGTTCTCCTCTCCCTCATTCACAGGCTCTTACGCCGCTGTCTACAGGACGCCGGATGACGCGTAGGGAGGTCAGCTGCTCTTATCTCTAGTCTGCTCGGCATTTTTCCACTCACAAGAATCGCTGTTTCTTTTCCTCGGTGCCGAGGTTTATGGTTCAGGTTGTAGGTTGGGTGCGCAGGGGCTCCTGTCCCCCCCAAAAGATTGACCTGCTTGCTGTACTGTGCAAGTAGCAGAAAGTCTAAAGTGGGTCCTGGATCTCATCCGAGGACTATTGTAGGCTGCAATGGAGCTAAAATACCCAAGTTATTTTGTAGGGATAACGAGGGAGTCCTCGAACTAATATGACGATCTTCATGCGTATGTGTCAAAGTACTCTAAATAGGATGCTACATATATCTATTATACGTTCATACAGTTTCACTTCTATCTTACTTGGTAGGGACAACAAGAGTCGCCGAAGTAATATGAGTGTATTCTTGATGCGTACACAGTACTGTGCATCCGAATTTGGAGGGATACAAAGTACTGCATACTCATCACGAAGACTCTGGATCTTGTCGGAGGACTATTGCGGGCTGCAATGGAGCTGAAATACCGAAGTTAGGTGTTCCTTTAAAACAGCTGACCTCCTTCTTCAGTATCCGTTTTAAGCACAGCAGCTCAAGCGGTTGGAGAAACGGGAGAGGAAGCGGCCTGCCGTGTGTAACAACGCGCTTTGCTGCATCTAACGGTATCAGACAACCCCACATACAAACAAGCATAAACAAACCATGTTGGCTTTACGCATAGACGCTGTAAAGTACACAATATTTAAAAACTTCCGTTTGCTGACCGTTTGTCTGCTGGGTCCACCCAAGGGGTCATCTGTTCACTTCCAGACAGAGTGCCACCCACGCAAACTATTATGCTAGGGGTTCTGAATGTTCGTTTCGCTTACATGTGTACATTCTGTGTTGACAAAGTAGATGATCTACGTCTGCGTCTGAGGAAATGGAATAAAGTACAGTAAACGCATGCATGCATGCATGCATGATGTCTACGTAGAAAACGTATATCCAGTACACCCCATATATTTTTCCACAGGCAGCCAGTGGGCAAGGCGCCAGGGCTTAGCTCAGTGCAAAAGAGGCATTGCTGCTGCTCTATGAAACCATATGAGCCTTGCAGCTACTGCCTTTTTCTTTCTTTGGCATTTCAAGTGTATCTGAACTTACCTCTGTACCCGTTGCAAACTTTGCCGGGGGACGCTACATACCTGCCAGTTAATTCATAGTCATCAGTGATACATTGCCTTGTTTCTCTTTAGCCAATATAAATTTAAAAATTGTTTCTGGACAGACACCTCAGCAACTCAGGCAGGACGCAGAACGGGTTCAACGAGGGGCCCCTTTGCCCGTCGGCTGTACACCGAGCTGCGGCAGCCGGCAGCAGCACTGGCAGCTTTGTTCTTTGTAGAAAAAGACATGGTGCGGCTGCATTGGAGAGGAAGTTTTGTGAAGAATTAGCAGCTCAATAAACCCGCAAAAGCCTCATCGGCTAACTTAAGGTGCATGTATACCGGCAGGGCAGTCTACGACGTCGTTGGTCCCACAACGAATCACCTGGTCTCTCGGGACGTCTTCTGCTGTTTAAAGAAACTCTTTATTCATGAAACACCCCATGGGGGCCTCGACAGAAACATTGTCTTTCTTGCTGCTGCAGCCTCAGGCAGTGCTGCACCAGAGCACTGCCGGGCTGTGGCTGCTCTCCCTTTGCTGCAGCGGCTTCCGCAGCTACTTGGGCCTCTGCTTGGGCTACTGATCCAGCTCCTTCTGAGTCTGCTGGCGCTGCTGCTGCAGCCCTTCTGGACCGGCACGAAAGGCAGAGCTGCGTGCGCGGGAGCAGGCGTGCCGCTGCCTCCAGCCGCTCCTTAGCGCGTAAAGACAGGGGCAGCAGCAGCAGCAACTGCAGCCAGCAGCATCAGTCTGTGACCACAGAATGCTATAATATCGACGGGGATGGCCTTCGCCACCAATTGGCCGAAAGCGCGAGCGGCAGGAGAACCTACGCTAGCAACAGAAGCAGCAACAACAGCAGTAGACACGAGGAATGGATGAATTTCCCCTCACGCCGCAGAAGCTGCGGAAGGTGCAGCAAGTCGCGGAGGTCTCTTGCCTTCCCGAGCAACTCGCCGTTGCACTTCTTGTTGCATCATGCTGGAATGTACAGGTCCATTAGCTGCCCCTTACGCCGGTGGTGCTGCTGCTGCTTCTGCCTGTGCATTTGCATCGTCTTCATCTTTTTCTCACCCGAAGATGTACATAATTTGCTGGTGTAGCGTCTGTTGTGTCTGCGTGCGCTGCTGTCGCTGCTACTGCTGCTGCTTGTTGGTGCTGTTATATATATAAATAAATAAGTATATATATATATATA